GTGGCAGAAAAGGAAGAAACTTGGGAGGGGAGAGGGGGGGAAAGGGCCCACAGTACGAGGAGGAGGATGAACCTCAACACCTGTAACGGAGCCAGTGAAAGGGGAAGACCTAGGTACAGAGACCGGGAAGGTAAAATGTGGAGGTGGATGAAGGGAAGGAAGGGTTAAAGGAGATTTGTTGGACCTCTGAGAAGTAGAGGGACGATTGGGAGGAGGTGTCGTACGAGGTCTTGTCGATACCGGGGTTTGTGAGGGAGAACACGAAGAAGTGAGGACAGACTGAGGTGTTGAAGTAGGGACGTCTGAGCCCAGGACAGCAAAAGAATTAGATAAAGGAGTGACTATGGGACTGGCAACCGCAGAGGAGGCTGCAGAAGATGTGACCCCAGAAGTGGGGGGACGTTTTGAAACACGAGAATAAAAAACACGGGGCAGTCTCCCTTGGAGGCGGAGATGAGAAACTGCCATAGCATAAAGGAGACGTTCTGCCTCTTTGAGGCAACGAATTTCTCGCTCATTTAAGTAGACCTGGCAACGGCGAGAGTACGAAGGGTGAGCCTCATGACAATTAAGGCAAGAGGGAGGACGACTGCAAGATGTATTAGAATAAATATATAGATGAGGGCAAGGTACCTAAGGACTGGCAGAGAGCGTGAACAGTTCCTTTGTATAAAGGCAAAGGAGACAAAAGAGAGTGCAAAAATTATAGGAGAATAAGTCTGTTGAGTATACCTGGTAAAGTGTATGGCTGAGTTATTACTGAAAGTATTAAGAGTAATACGGAAAGTATGATAGCAGATGAACAAGGAGGCTTTGGAAAAGGTAGGGAGTGTGTAGACCAAGTGTTTACAGTGAACATATAGGTGAAATATTTAGATAAGGCTAAAGAGGTTTTTGTGGGATTTATTTATTTGGAAAAGACGTATGCCAGGGTGGATGGGGGGCAGTGTGGCAGATGTTGCAAGTGTATGGTATAGGAGGTAGGTTACTGAAAGCAGTAAAGATTTTTTAAGAGGATAGTGAGGCTCAAGTTAGAGTATGTAGCGGAGAGGGAGATTATTTCCCAGTAAAAGTAGGCCTTAGACAAGGATTTGTGATGTCACCGTGGTTGTTCAATATATTTATAGATGGAGTTGTAAGTAAAGTGAATGCGAGGGTCTTGGCAAGAGGCGTGGAGTTAAAAGATAACACTTATGACGCTGATGACACTGTGCTTTTGGGAGATGCTGAAGAGAAGTTGCAGAGGTTGGTGGATGAATTTGGTAGGGTATGTGAAAGAAGAAAATTAAAAGTAAATATAGGAAAGAGCAGGGTGATGAGGATTACAAAAAGATTAGGTGGCGAAAGATTGGATATCAGATTGGAGGGAGAGAGTATGGAGGAGGTGAATGTATTCAGATATTTGGGAGTGGGCGTGTCAGCAGATGAGTCTATGAAGGATGAGGTGAATCATAGAATTGATGAGGGGAAAAGGGTGAGTGGTGCACTTAGGAGTCTGTGGAGACAAAGAACTTTGTCCGTGGAAGCAAGGAGGGGAATGTATGAGAGTATAGTTATACCAACACTCCTATATGGGTGTGAAGCATGGGTGATGAATGTTACAACAAGGAGAAGGCTGGAGGCAGTGGAGATATCATATCTGAGGGCAATGTGTTGTGTGAATCTAATGCAGAGAATTCGTAGTTTGGGAATTAGAAGGAGATGCAGGATTACCAAAACTATTTTCGAGAGGGCTGAGAAGGGGTTGTTGAGGTGGTTCGGATATGTAGAGAAAATGAAACGAAACAATGGCTTCGAGAATGTTTAAATTTGTAGTGGAGGGAAGGCGGGGTAGGGGTCGGCCTAGAAAAGGTTGGAGGGAGGGGGTAAAAAAGTTTTTGTGTGTGTGAGGGGCTTGGACTTCCAGCAAGCATGCTTGAGCATATTTGATAGGAGTGAATGGAGATAAATGGTTTTTAATACTTGACGTGCTATTGGAATGTGAGCACAGTAACATTTATGAAGGGATTCAGGGAAACCGGCAGGCCGGACTTGAGACCTGGAGATGGGAAGTACAGTGTCTGCACTCTGAAGGAGGGGTGTTAATGTTGCAGTTTTATAACTGTAGTGTAAAGCATCCCTCTGGCAAGACAGTGATGGAGTGAATGGTGAAAGTTTTTCTTTCTCAGGCCACCCTGCCTAAGTGGGAATCTGCCGATGTGTTAATAAAATAATATTATATATATATATATTTTATATATATATATATATATATATATATATATATATATATATATATATATATATATATATATTATATATATATATTATATATATATATATATATATATTTATATATATATATATATATATTATATATATATATATATATATATATATATTATATATATATATATATATATATGTATGTATATATATTATTTTTTTTTATTTTTTTTTATTATCACACTGGCCGATTCCCACCAAGGCAGGGTGGCCCGAAAAAGAAAAACTTTCACCATCATTCACTCCATCACTGTCTTGCCAGAAGGGTGCTTTACACTACAGTTTTTAAACTGCAACATTAACACCCCTCCTTCAGAGTGCAGGCACTGTACTTCCCATCTCCAGGACTCAAGTCCGGCCTGCCGGTTTCCCTGTTGGAGTGTGAGCAAAGTGTATATATATTATATATATTATATATATATATATATATATATATATATATATATATATATATATATATATATATATGTATGTATATATATATATTATATATATATATATATATATATATATATATATATATATATATATATATTTATATTATATGTCGTGCCGAACAGGCAGAACTTACGATCTTGGCTTAAATAGCAACGTCATCTTGCCATATAGGACAAGCGAAAATTTTTGTATGCAATAATTTCGCCAAAATCATTCTGAACCTAACGAAAAAAATATATTTCACTGTGTTTGTTTAGTATTAAACTTTTGTAAACAAATCTAAAATATATTTAGTTGGGTTAGGCTAAAATAAATTGTTATTGTTATAATAAGGTTAGGTAAGTTTTCTAAGATTCTTTTGGAGCAAAATTAAAAGTTTTTACATTAACATTAATGAAAAAAATATATCTTTAAACGTATAAGAGAAAATTTTAGAAAGGACTTAATTTTAAATGAGTTCTTGCTAATTGACCAGTTTTATATTCGGCACGACATTATATATATATATATTATATATATATATATATATATATATATTATATATATATATATATATATATATATATATATATATATATTATATATATATATATATTATTATATATATATATATATATATATATATATATATATATATATATATATATATATATATATATATATATATATATATATATATATATGCAAGAAGCTCCATGAAAAAGTCGCAATCATATTTAAATGGCTGATTATCTGCGCCAGTGCTGGTGATTTATAGATGTTTCCCTCTGGTTAGAGAATCCATGAAAATTTTCAACCATTCTCATCTTATTCTGCAGTACGGGGCACGGCAAAGACCGGGGCATCATGAATCACCTCAATTTTCTACTCTACAGATATAGTTTGGTTTTGTAGGGAAACCCGTAACTGAGTCACGGAGGGCTGCGGGAGTCCCGCTCAACTGTGACTTAGGCAAGAGCGTCCACTTGACCTAATACTAAACATGAAAACTTAAAGACTATCAACCTAGAGCATTTGAAATTCCCATAATGCAATGTCCAATTCACAGGTGGTAGAGAGGATCCTGTAAATGCAGCAGGATAAGGTAAGATGAAGGGGCAGACCTGATAACCATTCTCAGATCTGGAGCAACAAAATGATATATACAGAGAGAGAGCATGATCTTTCAATTTATCTCATGGGTGTTGTTTAAGATATTCAGTGACAACAGTCCCTGAGTTCTAAATAAGGAGCTCATCTCATGGTCCAGAGTCATAGACTATCATCATTTAATTCTTACAGGTTAATTCTGCACCAAGAATAATACATGGGGGAGCAGGTAAAATTAACATCCACCCTATTATGGATGAGAAATCTGTATCCGCCCACACCAGTCAAACTTCAAGATATTGTCCTTTATCCATGGTATCTGTTGAAATGCTATTTCGTTATGGACCCAAAGCATACACTCCCTAGTCACCTGTATTTAATGCTTTCTTAACACGATTAGTGCCAACACGTACTACACCATCAGTGGCCATGATAAAACGCACGACTCTGAAAATGCTGCTTTGCAGATCCTCCTCCTGGAAAAATTTCCACAGACAGCTCGAATCAAGAGTTTATTGTATTTGCCAAATTTATATGCGATTTCAAAATTTTCTCTTGCTCTTAAATATCTGAAGGCGTCTACCGAAAATCCTGAATAGCGAGAAAATACAAAACTTCACCAGCAATAAACAGTCTTTCATGTGTATATGCCAAACTAATCGAAAGTTTATCAACTGCTACAAAAACAGCGTACTAAAGAGTTACGCAAGCAGTTTTCCACCTTCCAAGACTCTTGTTTCATCTGTAGATGACACTAGAGACTTGTACCTTAGCCAGTAAGAGTCGACAGTTTGTAGTCTCCAGTTTTCATCATGGAAGCCAGACTGAAGAGGTAAAGAACCCAGTTTTATCAAAATGAAACATTGTGTGAATCATTAGGAATAAACAAGGAACATTTATTTAAATTAAGAAAGGATGTACAAAATATTTTATTTGAAAAAAAAAATGAAATGTTTTACCTTCCCCACTTTGACCCAGTTCGCAGTGTTGTACTGTTACTGTTCACGATGGTGACCCAACGAGTTAATCTCACTATCACCCGACCTTGACTGACCGGGATTGTCTGCCCAACGACCAGGTATATAAAGAAGCAACAAGTCAGTTCACAACCACAACTCTCACTGCCTCTTCTTCCTCAACACTAGCTCAGCTTTAGGGCGATAAAACCCAACTAAAATCCTAGCCTGCTATCTCAGGAATAATTCAAGATGAAGATTACACCACATATAATATTTACCAGTGAGTATATAACGTTATACAGTTGTCTCTTGGATATAAAAGCAACAGAATTCGCTATCTGATGATTATAACATATTTTAATAATACAGTCACGTAACTGTTATGGCAGTGCTGCTTTGTTAACACTGTCGTGATTTCATGCTGAAGTGAAGCGTCCTAATGGCCGCTACTTCTCCTTAATAAACATTTTTTCCTCTCACAGCTCTTCTTGGAGCATCACTGGCGGTGCAGCTGAATTACTTAGCACCTACTAATGGATTTAACGGCAACGGAGGCAGTGGTAATGGTGCATACAGCAACGGTAATGGGAATGGCAATGGTAGATACGGAAATGGTAATGGTGCCTACACTAATGGAATCGGTAACGGTGCTTACGCAAATGTGATCGGAAATGGAGGTTTTTCTAATGGTATAAATGAAAATGGGGTAGTCGCTAATGGATATACAAATGGTAATGGAATCATAAACGGAAATGGTGGATATTCCAATGGAAATGGCAACGGGTATATCAATGGTGGAATTAATGGAAATGGCAATGGCATAATTAATGGTAATGGTTATGCAAATGGTGGATACACCAATGGAGTGATTAACGGGAACGGGTTTTATAATGGACTGGAGGATCCCATCACCGCCCTGGCTACTACTGTAAGAGGTGAACCCGGCGTGGACTATCCCATCCTGGCTTCCGTACCCGACACAGGATTCACCTGCAGTGGACAGATCCCTGGATACTACGCTGATATTGCCCTCGAGACCGGCTGTCAGGTGAGTCACGCACTTCCCTTGAGGTTGGTTGCCAGCTAAATCTTAAAGATGGCTGTCAACTAACTCTTAAACTGGTAACGAGATCGGCTTTCCAATAACTTCTGAGAAATATTTGATCCTTCATTCTTACAGAACCTCTTTAGATCCTGTACGTTGCGCAGCTTGCTATTAGTGACTAGAGTTTTTAAAATTATAATACACCATTTCTCTTGTATTTCAAAATTGTTATGGATTTACACTTTGATTCATAGATTTTACAAATAAAAGCGCCTGAGTTTAAAGTTCAAACAGGAGATATTATGGAATGTTTATGTCAAGGAGTAGAAAACAGCTTTTCTGATTGTCCATCCTCTTTCAACAGACATCATTTCAAAAAGGCAGATTTTTATATGAACAGAAAAAAAAGTACCACATAAAGTTAAATAGCAACACCTAGAGGAAGTAGTGACGTAATATCCTCTTAAGAAGTTAGATAAACCAACTGAAAGAGAACAGAAACCAACTCCGAGTTACATACTAATAATAACACAACTGATAGTCGCTGTTAGCAGGTCCTCTATATCCGTCACTAATGATACAATGTTTCTCTAATAATGTTGTCCTCCACAGGTGTTTCACATCTGTCAGGCAGATGGCAGGAGCGACTCTTTCCTGTGTCCCAACGGTACCATCTTCAACCAGCAGTACTTCGTGTGTGACTGGTGGTACAACTTCGACTGTTCCACCGCCCAGCAGTTCTATGGTCTCAATGCTCTGATCGGAGTCGTGAATGGTAATGGATACTCCAACGGCGTCGTTAATGGTAATGTTAATGGTAATGGAATTTATGCCAACAGAGTAAACGGAAATGGTGCACTTAATGGAAATGGAGGCATAACTGTCAATGGAAATGGGTACAGCAATGGAATTAATGGAAATGGTGTAGCCTCTCTTAATGGAAATGGCTATACTGTTGGAAATGGATACAGCTATAGCAATGGAAATGGCGGTAATGGTAATGGAAACGGAGGAAATGGAAATGGATTCACTAACGGAAACGGCAATGGTTACAGCAATGGTAACGGTAATGGTTACACAAATGGTAATGGTTACACCAACGGTAATGGATTGATCATTGCCAACGGTAATGGGAATGGTGATAATGGTAATGGTTACACAAACGGTAACGGACTCAATGGCAATGGCTACACAAATGGTAATGGCTTATCCAACGGCAATGGATTAGCCAGGGTAATGGTAACGGCTACACTAACGGCAACGGTTTAACCATTGGTAACGGAATTAACGGTAATGGTTTCATCAATGGTAACGGAATCAATGGAAATGGTTACGCCAATGGTAATGGTGTCAACGGAAATGGTTTTCCAATGGCAACGGAGTTAACGGTAATGGATTTGCCATAACAGCATCATCCTCACCCTCCGGCCTATACCAGACACCCACCTTCTAGGCAGTGCTAATGGCATGAGTTTAACATAGTGGTGCTAACCTCACACTCCGACTTATACTGAAATACCTTTTTCTGTATAAGAGAATCCCTTGTCTCTTGACTGTTGTAAATAGTTTGTTACGATATACTGACAACTGCTGGTGATGGAGATTTGTCTGTCTTTCTTTACTTGGTGAAGTCAACCTGATCTTCCTCAAGATTACACTACAAGTACTAAGGTAAACTGCCGAACCGGACATACAGACTACACAGGTGATGGCTGGGACAGGTCACATCAGACATGCTGAGGTACTCATGGTGATGGCTGGATCAGGCCACACCAGACATACAGAGGTACTCATGGTGATGGCTGGGTCAGGCTACACCAGACATACGGAAGTACACATAGTGATGGCTGGGTCAGGCTACACCAGACATACGGAAGTACACATAGTGATGGCTGGGTCAGGCTACACCAGACATACGGAAGTACACATAGTGATGACTGGGTCAGGCTACACCAGACATACGGAAGTACACATAGTGATGGCTGGGTCAGGCTTGCCCAGAATACGAATACACTGTGATGCTGGGTCAGTTTATAATCAGACATACGGAAGTACACTATAGTGATGACTGGGTCAGCTACACCAGACATAGGAAGTACAATAGTGATGGTGGTCATGTTGCCAAACTACTGTATCTTCAAATTTATATAATATATTATTGACTACAGGAAGCAAATTATGTGTTTGTCAATATATTCTATGTTTTTCATGTATAAACTATAAATTTGAAATTGAATATAAAAAATTTATTTGAATATATAAAATTTTTTATTTTGTCATTTGTCGAGGCCTCAACACAAATCAAGATTCAAATTTTAGTGTCGTGCTTCTGCTTCCAAATATTTAATAATATCACATTCCATTGCTTGCTTTAAATGATTAATTGTAATTAAGAAAATAAACATGTATTGAAATTGAAGGCTAAGAAATAAATTGTATTTAATAAAATATTTTTTAGACCCTTTTTAAATAATTTCTAAGATGGTAATGACAATGATCATATTTTATTTACAGTGTATTAAACGAGTAGTTTTTAATAATGTAAAGTGGACATAAAATGATTTTAGAATTCAAGGATATATTCACCGAGATGTATGTCTCAGCGTATATATATTGAGAGTTTACCTTATTAGGTAAAAGGACACAAGTGTGACTAATGACACATTCCATTGTAGCAACGTCTCGCTCCCCAGGAACTTTATCAAGCCTTGATAAAGCTCCTGGAGAGCGAAACGTTGCCACAATAAAATGTCACACTATTTGCACTTGTGTCTTTTTACCTAATATATTTTCGGTAATTCTACCAACATTAATACAGTTTACCTCATTCTCTACTAGAGGGGTGAAAGAATTCTCGTCTACTGATGAACAGGCGATATTTAACCTTAATGACAACATTCGACGGGTTTTATTCTCCATTAACCAGCACACAATTAAAATGTTAAAAAAATATTGAATCAGGAACATAACTTCCAGATTAGTAACTGTCAATAGTTACAGAGCAAAAGGTAATTTATACAGAGTATAGCTGAGAGTTATGTTGTATGATTCACAACACTTTAGAACTAGTTGGTAACATCGATAATTTTCTTCCATCATTACGAATTTAAAGCTAATTTGATGTCATATTGCAGCTAATTTATTAACAATATGAAAATTACGTCTATTAGATAATTTCCAAGTATCAGACCAGATAAACGTTCGATATAAACTACATCAGGTAAGAGAAATAGCTCGTTGAAAAGACTGTCTGGTACCTGCTGTACAGCCTTGCGGGACTCTGGCTCAGTTTGTAAATAGTGCAAGAGATTTGTTCCCGGGCCACGAAGAGTCGCCAGTCTGCAGTTTGCCACCGAGAAGACCAATCTGGAGAGCTGAAGACTCTCATGATCTCCAGCAAGAGAGGTACACTTCCTCCTTTGGAATATGATGATAATAATAATGATTTATTATTATTGTTATTATTTCCAGCAGTGGAAAGAAATGGTCACTTCTAAATTAATCCAGCACAACACACCTTCAGAAGGTTAGAAGCATCAAGATGCAACAGAGGAATCAACATTCAGCTTTAAACTTTCAAAGTTGGTTTGTCCTACTTTGAAGACGGTTCAAATTTAATTTAATTTAAAAGTAAAATTTTAAGTTAAATTAAAATGGTAGTATTATATCTACCCAATCATGGCACTAAAAATTTCGGTTATCAAACCTGAAAATTTACCAGCCCTTTATACCACCGTAATTCTACACTTTTATTATGTTATGCAGTTCCTTTAGGTCATTGTGGAGATAATTTTTATCTATAAATTATTTACCATTAATAACGATGCAGTGCTCTAGCTGCCTAGTAAATCCATTAACCTAGCTGTCTAGTATATTCCCCCATGGCATAGCTGCCTAGTATATTCCCTGGTATAACTAACTAATTAATTTGAAACTTATTAAGATCAGTCCATAGCTTCTGTAATATAACAGAGAAATTAGTCAACGTCTTATCCTCTCCTCCTTAAACGAATGTCAGTGTTCATGGTGCCTGGCCACCACATGAAGAGACCTGGGCCGGTATCCACCCTTCCAGTCTACCTGCTCTCAGGAGGCTGGTAAATAAATTCTTTGGACATCACCCACCAAGTTTCGGAGAGGGATTTAATTCCTCTCTGAAGTGTTTGATAGGGCTTAGCACTAGCTCCTGTGCTAATCAACAGTTTCTGATTTTTTGAATTATGAGTAGCAGTTCATGGGCCTTTTACAGGTGCTGACTTACAGTTCCTGGGCCTTTTGATAGTACTGATTAACATTTCCTTTTTTGAGTGACGTTAAACAGTTCCTGCCTCTTTGTTTTTTTAGAGACTGTTGCTCAACAGTCTCTAAAAAAAAGCTACAGGAATTAGGCTTCTTGCGTGTGTTAATCTAAAACTTTTGAAATTATTGATCTCCATTTCCCGGGCCTTTTAGGAAGATTGAGTTAAATTTTCTAGGTCTGTTGAAGGAATTTAGCTTCAGCTCCTACGCTTATTGAGAGTCGTGACGTTCAACTACTTGACCTTCAGAGTATGTTGACGTACAGGAAGTTGGGTTTATTTAATATGCTGATACTTCTCTAACACCAGGAGGTCTGGTCACAGACCGGGCCGCGGGGGCGTTGACCCCCGGAACTCTCTCCAGGTAAACATCACTCTGAGGCTGAAAAAAGTTTACCTTTTTTTCTTTACTAATTTTCTAAAAATGTATTGAAAGAATCCAGTATTTATAAACTCTAATTCCATTCATCATTATCTTCCATCTTTAACAACCATCTTTAACAACCATCTTCATAATCCATCTTTATGATCCGTCAGAGTCAAGGTCAGAATCAAAGGCAAAGTCAGTCATTGACACTTATGTTGGCTAACTTTGACTCAGACCGACTCTGACGTTGACCCTTAACTCTGACTTTGACTCTGACTTTGATTTGACTTCTTGAGGAATCACAGGCAACATCTCATATTGAAAAAGACCTGTAGGGCATCTCAAGTCCGTCTGTCGACTGAGGTTCCAGGTCAAAATCCTCTTCATTCTCAGCCACAAAAATCAGTCACATACCACACTTGCCCCGTCTCACGCCCCCCCCAACGCATTGCCGCTAATGAGGATATTAAATAACCGTAATGACATCACTTCCTTCACACAACTTGATCTTGCTTTCCGACATTTGCAATTTTCTCATAATCATTCGTTCAATAATAGTTTTTACACAGCTCAATGAGTTTTTCTTTTTCTTTCTGCTTTCGTTATGAGGACGCGGAACCATTTGTGTTTTGTTTCCTTCAAGGCATTCACTCGTTACAGATATTTAAATGCACTAGACATGAGTACACAAATGGATTAGACACGAGTGCATCAGATACGAGAGTACAGATTTATTAGACACGATAGAATACACATGGTGTTTTATATATAATCCACCGTTTAACAACATACTGAAGAAAAGAATCAAGAGGAAAAACGTAACACCATATCCTGTAAAATTGGAAAGTGACAGAGAAATTGCAAAAATCATTGTAACTAAGATTTTCAATCGTAAAGACGTAGATCAGCCAGCCTATGAAGGTGTGATAGTAAACAAATGATCAACCAAAATCCTTAATTTAGTAACTTTTTAATCATCATTGCATTAAGGAAACGACACAAGTGAGAGAAGGCAGCGCACGCTTGATATTAGACCCGGATAATACTGAAAAAAAAGGAAGAAATATCAAAAATAAACTATTTTAACCCACTTGTAAGAGCCAATCATTTTTTTTCTGAAATAACATATGTTGTTCAATATAATTTAAAAGTAGCAAAATATATAATTCAAATAAGAACGACTAAATTATAAGAAATATTTTATAGTTG